TTTCGTAAAACCGTGGGGTCCGCTTGCAGGCCCTTCCTATTTTCCTCCCCACTCCCCGCTCGGCCGGCCCTCACCAATCCCCTTAGGGCCGCTACGCAGGCTAATGAACAAATGATTGGATGAACAAATGAATGGTTGAACAAATGAATGGTTGAACAAATGACAGGATGAACAAATGAATGGATGTTACCTTAACATTTGACGATACCATGTCCATGTTGGTACATACTGATTCCATGAAGAACACCTACAAACCACAAAACACAAAGTAAGGATATGCATATTTATGAAGGACAACTTGTATTAGACGAGTAAAGTTAATCTTTAAAGATTGTGATGAAGAAAATATATACAAAATGTAGTCATAGACTAATAAGACTGGATCATTCAAACGTTAAAGAGAACTTCCGATGGGCTTCGAGATGTTCTTCTTCTCATGTATTCCCTGATGATGCTGTAGACAGCGAAAGCTTGGATTCTTAAAATAAATTTGTTCCACCACAGCAGCCCTTGCTACATTTGTATATATTTTCTTCACAACTTATATTGTTTGAGAAAACAATGGTCAAGCAATAGACTCTTTTCCAAACAATAAAACAAAACCCAACCTAACAATAAGAAGTTTAGTACTAAGGAAAAAATATAAATTGGATAACTAAAAAATGAAAACAGTTCGATTGGACAAACTTACCTTAAAACCTCTTCTTCTGCAAAAATCTAAAACAAGCCTCCGTCTTTCTCTTGTAGTATTGGTTGCATCGAAAATCTGTTCAAAATATACTATTTAGTATTTACAGACAACACCACTTCTGTTCAATGAAAAACTGCTTTTTATCAAATTATGAGAATATCCCCCTTCAAACACTGCTCACAGCTAGTTTTTCTTTGAGGGGCAAAAAATTAACTGACGTTTTACTAGCTGTTAGCAAAAACTCATATAATTTTAGTGATATTTTTAGTGAGCAACTTACTGCTGCCTGGCCTCCATTATTTAGCCATTTGCTGACGTCTTCTAAACAAGTCAAGGCACATTGCCTGGAAAAAAATGTCATGTACCAGTAAATACTTTTAAATAATCACATTGACATAACAAACTATGTTCATGAGCTGGGATGGACACAGAACTTAATAAGGAAGCGTCCCAAATGAAGAATTACTGTCATTATCAAGAAAATATTTATATAACAGGCATTTTTGGAACAAGTTACACTTAAAAATATGATCCTTCTTTGTACAATTCTTAAGTTTAGTCTGTGGATTGGTATAAAAAATTGAAATTTTATGTCTTGGATAGGACTAGAGTTTTGTATCCCCCACCCCTTGGGATTTGCCTGTATACGTACCTTCTAATTATCTGTGCCTGGTCATTATCTGGTCTGAAGAAGTCATGTAACTTATCTGTACCAACAACTTTTCTTCTATATTCACCAACATTAAACACTACAGGAAAATCAACAACATGGAAATCAGACTTTCACTTGTCCAGTCGCCGCTGCAATAGTTATCAAGGGAATTACTGGATTTTTTGAGCAACATCCGGTTTCCAAGAGCAATTATGCATGACAATTTAATCCCTGAGACTTAAACTACTCTATTGTTTTTATTATTTAACAACAAAATTTTCTAAAGCCACAGGCTCTAATAGCATTCAACTCTCCAATCTCCATGAATGAGAGTGTGGGAAAATGTGTTGTTGAAATACATCTGTTGTTTGGAATCTAAGACTGTGGATTCTATAACAGGACTTTACACAGCTCAGTGCTTGCTCTTAAAATGTATTCATACCATTCGTTTGTATGCTAATCCAGTTCAAGTATCTCCCAAGCTTTTTTGCCATGTATGTTTTGCCTCTTGCTGGTAGGCCAACCAGAACGATTACTGTCGGAACATTTGCAAACCTTGGACAATATTCTGGTAGCGTACAATCTATAAAGAACAATTTGTACATCACATTGTTTATATTTTGTACAAATTCATGTTTTTAAGTACGCTTGGTGGGGGCTTGGTGTATTAAATTTAAATTGAAAATTGATTAAAAATGAGCATGATTTTACTTTCTAATTTTAATGACAATGCTTTGACATAGCACTTCAGAGGAAAAATTCTCCATTTTCTACTTTCTAAATAAAAATACAATCAAATCGAATACAATTTTGCTGAAATGTTGAATGAAATGAACCCTGACAACGAGGGGTTAAAATGTCAGGAAATTTCACGAAGCGTTGTCGTCTGACTTAAAATTTGCTATCATTATAAGACAAAGCAATGCTCATAGCCTTGTTTTTTCGTAAGTAAAGTGGGAAAATTGCACATTAATTAATAGATACCTAGCTTGTATTTGTAGTCAAATGGATGAATGGTACTTGTAGCCTTCTGTGGCTTGTATCGCTTTTTCTGTAATTCTTCTTCTTCCCGAAGAAAATCCTCAAATTCTAGCTCTGCTTGCGACATAGACCTTTCTAAATCAAATCTACTAGGCTCTGAACTTTCCATCTTTGACAATAAACAAGGAAAGCTCTTCGAAGTCTCACTGCATTTTTAGATTTTGGCCAAGCAAAGCAACGCTTTACTTCACGTCACGATCACGCGTCTGTCACGCAGTTGTTGTTCCTTTTCCACGTGGTCGTACTTTACGAATCATGTGATGATATACTAATAAACTAATTTGTGGGTGGCCTGTGGTAATGACTCTCTTGGAGGTACCAAGGTACCTGTCAATTGATCCCACAAATAGATTTTCCGGGCTTGGCATGGATTATTACAAAAATATGTAATCCGTCTTTCAAAGCAAAATTCTTGTTTGCCTCTTGATAAAACAACACAACAAAACAACACAACAATTGTCGCGTTCTTGAGTTTATTCGATGTTATTTTTATCATTTATAGATATGTATGTAGGACGGACACTGGTGAAAAACGCACTGCGCATGCAAACAGCTTTCCCGCCAGTGGGCGCTCGCCTCTTGAAATCTGTAAACAGAGCGCCTGCTGAACAGGCACTGAAAACGAATCCGACAGCACCATTGAACCGACCACACAAGTTGGTTGTTATTGAACCGACCACACAAGTTGATCTTTTGTCTCCGTGTTTCTGCCAAAGAGCTGCATTTCATAATCTACAAGTTGACTCCAAAAGCCAGGTTTGGGGCCGATCATGGGCCTCTTTTGTTTGACGAGAGAGTATGCATTTTTCAAGGTCATGTTATGATATTTCATCAGATATGCGATTACCAAAGTGGATGACCTGATTTTGATAAGAAAAAATATCGTTGATATATCTGGAAATAGAATTTTATTCCGTTTCAAGACTGGATCTACATGGCCTCGATTCGTACAACAAAGCATGACTAGAGTTGAAGTCCTCAAATATCCCTAAAAGCCGTGTTTTTTAGGTTTTCGGCAAAACTGATTCCAAAAAAAAAGCAAAGAAAAAGTCAATTTGGAGGACTGTTTTAGTGTGTATGGAAAAATGCAAGAACTGCAACTCCCATCATGCCTTGTTGCACTAATAGTCCAGTTTTGCATGAAACGGTCACATGGTACTAAATCCGGCATACTGGACATGGCAAAAGAATGTAAACAACCTCAAAAACAAAAGAAACACAGCTCTTCAAGCTTGACTTTTTTGGTTTAAATAGGCCTAGTCATATTTATCCAGCATGGTGGATATAGTACTATGTGACCGTTTCATGCAAAGGGCGTATTCAGAGGGGTCGCTGGAGCCTATTCGACGCTGTAGTCTATATTATACATACCTATTCACTCCGGATATACAATGAACCAGTACTTTGCCTTTATGCTTCATAACACGATCTGAATAAAATTTTAGGCTTAATTAATTTCCTGCTAAAATAGCCCAGGAAAAGCATACTCAGGGACGCAGGTAAAAAGCGACCGTTCCGCCTCAGACCCCTCTCCCATATTGCTAACATTTTAAATCTGCCTTCGCGACAGAAATGGCACGAATAACATGTCATCAAACCTATTTTGTCAGCAACTTTATCGAAGTGCACCATGATATTCGCATCGTTTGAGTCTTCAATTTCGACCATCATGGACTCGACTGGAATTTTGTATTGTCGTTCTCTCATACTCGCTGAAAATATATATATAGAATACCAAATAATGAAATCGAAAAAAAGCTGACAATGAATTGTTTTAATGAAATACGAAAAAAGCTTACGCTTTTTCATCTTTTTTCATGCTTTAACTTTAACATACTGGACGAGTCTGTCCTAGCTTTATTTCGCTCTTACCATTGATAATATCTGTGATACCTTTTTTCTCGATGCTTCTTTCATCGTCAGAATCCAAGGGCAGACTTCCGAGATACAGAAAATTGTCGATAATTTCATTCATACTACTAATGGTCGGACGAATACCGCTAGCTTCTCCCTGTACTTTTTGAAGCGATGAATTCTCAGTGTTCTTTGCAAAAATATTCTTGAAAAATGACATTTTCGCAAAAACGATGTCTGAAAAATCAAACTGATTTTTAGAATAAAACTTTTAGCGCGGAGTTTCTTTTACATGACAACCCAAATTTGCATGAAAAGTAGGAAGAGAAGTGCTCTATTATATATTCTTTCAGTGTCGTCATCATATTTTTTTGTCATTTCAGCAATATTTAGAATACTCCACGTCAAATGTGTCAATGAGATCTAGGATTACCACGAGAAAAGCATAATCAATAGCCGACTTGCGAATTACGCATCAATAGTCACATACAAAGGAATCAAGACGAGGCGCCGTGCTAAAGACAATAGATTTTCACAAAAAGCACGGCGCCTCGTCTTGATTCCTTTGTATGTGACTATTGATGCGTAATTCGCAAGTCGGCTATTTTCTTTTTACCACATCTTGCATTTTCGTAAGGGTGCAAATATTTTATGCGTATAGTCGACGTCATTTTGTACAACAAAGCAATTTTTACGGCACCTTCACTGGAAAAAATCGCGCGATTTAAAGATTGTAAATTTGATGTAAATATGATGTAATTGTCCAAAATTCTGTAAATTTAATGGAAATCACAGTTTACATCAAATTTACAGAATTTTGGTCTCTTACATCATATTTACATCAAATTTACAACCTTTGAAGCGCACGATTTTTTCCAGTGATTTTTCGTTTCCTTTGTGTAGAGACAGCACAACTAGCCTGCGTAGCGGCTCTTGGGGGGTGAAAGGTAAACTAAACGAAAAATGGTTAATGGTTAATGAATAATGGTTAATGAATGATGGTTAATGGTTAATGGTTTTGTTTCAGCCGATTTCCTTGAGTTTAAGTGCCTTTCTCCCCACCAAGCAAGGCACTTAAACTCAAGGAAATCGGCTGAAACTTCGTCAGAGGATTGCACAATACATCAATAACAACAGGTTTGAGTTTTGTTTCGATTTATTAAAATTCAAGCGAGAATTTCTCGATTCAATAACAACATATAAACTCTTCAAAATAACGGTAAATATAGAGGGGAGGGGAGGGGTGGTGTACATAAGAACCACTGATAAAGAGCCTGTGCTCCCTGTGACCAGACACTCATGATGACCGGGCGAGAATTCGCACAGGCAACCCAGCCACGCTTCAATTTACATTGCAACAGCGTGAAGATGGGGAATAAACTAGAGGGGAAAACTCTTTTAAGAGCAAAAGAAAAAGCGAAAAATTATCAAGATGGAGGACAGGAAATAAATGAGAATGAAAGTCGAAAAAGAAGATAAGGAAAGATATAAGAAAGAAAGGGAGGAAAACATAGAATCATAAAATAAAAGAATCATAACATTTTTATTTACAATATATACTGATGTATACAGTGACTGAGTAATGTACAAAATGAACAATAAAGTTATTTTGTTCTCTCTCTGTGAATATATATTAAAACTGCAGTAGCCTCAAGCATTTTTCACTAGAATGTGTACATTTGTTCTGGCTACATCTGACCCCACTCCTGTGATATTTTTTTGTTATTTAAGAAAGGAATTAGCATCCTCCACAGGCAAGCTGTATTCTTCCTATGTCAGGAAAAGTCAGTGGAGGATGCTTGAGTTCATGCACTATATCAATATAATTAATAATTATAAATAATTGTTTTTATTCAGCTGACATCATGGCAGCCATGTTGGTGTTTCATCAAAAATGATTTTTTTTATAAGTACCAGTTCTTGCACTCAGTTATTCCTTGCACGTGGTTCCTGGGACGAGCTGGTGAGTCCCAGAGAATGCGTTCACAAGGAGTTTAATACTATGTGACATGATGAAATGTTGAAAACAAAATTATGGATCCACCCCTCCCATTACGTCCTCTGGTCTTTTGCCTTTTGAATCTCAAAAAATTCATGCTTAAAAACTAAAAATTCAGATACAATTTTAGTACCAAATCTTTCATTCTCAATAATTAATTTTGCATAAATTATCTTATTGTTTCACTGGCTTAGGACACTCTACAATATTGTAATGATTAGACTGACCCTCCCCTCCCTAGTTAGGATTATTGTATGTAGGAAGTGTGATCCACTGAATGTGCAGAGTCGCCTGAAGTACAAATAAAGCAATTTAGAGGAACGCTACAATATATACAAACTATCAGTGATAAAGTACGTAGCCAACATCTTTCTTTTTCGCAGTCTCTTTCTTTTCAACTGTGCTTTTTCCAAATAGTTTCTTTTCATAGTCTATGAGGTGATTCCAGAATCCATAATTTGGGCTGATGATCGACCTTTTTTTCTTGACAAAATCATGGGAATCTTTTAAGGTCATTTTGTAGTATTTCATGAGATATGCAATCACGAGAGTGGCTGACCTGAGAAAGACACAAAGTTTTAGCCATTGTTTTAGTTTGGCAACACCCCTTCCCTTCTTAAAAGCCTATAACCAAACCAAGTATTTTTTCTATTTAATGCAAAGCTTTCAAGCAGTGGTTTGTTTGGTGTGACATCACTAAGAGGGACTGGGGAGGGAAAGAAGAGGGAGAACCTTCCAAAAACAATCTTATTTTTCTTTTTAATTTTATCTTTGTTAAAGGTGACGGAAGGAAGGGGACCTGACAGGGGAAAGTGGGCACCTTACCTACTGACACCAGCCACGCAGTGAACCAATACCCTTCCATTTTCCTTTTTTACTGCATCTGAGAATTATGGAAATTCAAATAAATAAATAAAATTTAAATGAAAAATATGAATTATTCGAGTTATATCTTTATGCAAAATCTACATCATGGAGCCATGAAACATGATCATTAATAAATAAAATCAAGAACCATTTTTAATGCATTTAAAATTTATTACTTATGATTTTTTGACAAATTCAAGTCCGACAATGATGGAGTTCATCATGTAACATATCAAAATGATATCAAAGAAAGATTGATGGACAGACTGCAGTAACCTAATTCATTCAAGATGATACCTTACAGTAACAAGCTTACCTATTTTGTCGGCTACCATATCAAAATACAGCGATATATCGGCGTCTGAATTGTCATTGATGTTTATAACCATACATTTGACAGGAATTTTGTATTTTCGCTCTTCCATACTCGCTGCAGAAAGAACGAAGAACGATGAACTTAACAAAACACAAAATATCACAGTGAAGGAGCTCGTACTTTTCGTCAAATATAAATTATTACTAAGGTTTATTCAAATGCTCTAATTCTCACTGCGTAATCTAAGGTAAAATTACCGTTAATAATATCAGTAATTCCTCGTTCTTTTAGCTGTTTTTCTTCCATTGCTATTCGTAAACTTCCGAGATAAAGATGGCCATCTATTATCTCGCTCATCTGGCTTAGGGGGCTGTAATGAACCACTGTATGTAACTCCTTGCCTCTATACATCTCTACCGGTGGATTTTTAGTGAAGATCTTCTTTAAGAAAGACATTTATAAGTGAAGCCAAGATCTACATCCCAAACATTGGTGATTTAGGCCCCTATATGGTCGGTTGTATGGTTTCGTTTATTTTGTCTTGTCAAATTTGTTTACGTAACCGATTTAGATCGCGGGCTCATGACACAAATTCTGCAAAAATCAGCAGACCAGTCAAGACTTTTTGCTTGGCCAACGTTTTGAAAGATGGATAAATGCAGATGGTTGTAAAAGAAAGAAACCGAATTCTACCGAATTCTACTCTCGAGAAGTTTAAAATGGAACAAACATAGACAAACACGTTACAAACATTTGAGTAAAGAAAAAAAAAGTCTTTCAAGTTTTTGTTAGACACACCTCAGTAATACACTTATTTTAAAGCGAAACTTCATGTTATGTTAATTTACTAGCCATCAGCCAGTCGCCTTCTGGTTGGCTCATTAATTACAAAGGCTTACATAACATGAAGTAGTGCAATAAGCTTTTTAAATCATATAAAGTCCAAGTAGCAATTGGCATTAACAGAAAATACTTTCTAACCCTTGCTACTGTACTACAAAAGGAAAATGGAAAGAACTCACACTAAATGGTCAAACTTCTTATGCTGAATTTAAATGCAATAGTCTCCTTCACAGTTACCTGCGCCATCTTGAAAGGTAGCCGTGCCTTGTCATCAAAGCAAGACAACCGTTGAGCGTGCAATGATAGAAACCTTCTTTCACACCTATAGACAATTATTCACAGGTATCTATCATTGCACGCTCAATGGTCGTCTCGCTTTGTTGCAAAGGCACGGCTACCTTTCAAAATGGAGCAGGTAACCGTGAAGGAGACTATTCACTCATTTTGCAATCTTTCACACACCCAATAAACACCACCTTACTCCTTTAGAATTGATTTTTATTATACAGAAAGACAACCATTTACTCGTTCTCTTCACTTCGCAGACGAGCACTGCCATTAGTGACTTTGATGGCTAGCTGTTGTGCTCTCTCAACAATCTCTTTCCGTTTTCTGCTCGAGACATTGTGTGCTATTTCACAAGCATAGGTTCGGTTTAGCATCATCATGACTTCAAGTTCCTAGAAAACAAAGAAACTAGGATCAGAAGGAGAAGTATTTTACATTAGTTATAAACATATTAATGATCCATCACTCATACTGCGCTGTGATTGGCTACTCTACTAATGGTCTAATTTGTGATAGACCACTTGCGGGAAAATCAAAATAAATAAATTATAAATTATTTTAAGGATATTTCAATTTGTTTTCATTATTTGACCGATTATATAACATAAAATACAATTAGCTGAAAGCACTGCACCCTGTTCAAAGATGCTTTGAAAAATGCGACATAAACATTATTTGTGTAACTGACTGCAAACACTAAAACCAAGAAAAAGTTTAGTAATTAGATACCTAGCTCTAAATTGTACTGAATTTCTTTGTATTCTATTGTCTAATCTACACTATATCACACTGTTTAGCACTAGTTTGTCAGCACCATTGTCAGAATGATTTTAACAATACAAATTACATCCAGGAGAGAGATTTGTACCTTAACATTGTGTACAACAAATTTCTTGAAGCCATCGGGCATGAGATGTCGTGTTTTGCGATTGCTACCATAACCAATGCTTGGCATTAAGTATTGGCCCTTGAATCGACGACGTACTCGGTTATCTATTCCCTTGGGTTTACGCCAGCTTTCCTACGGAAAATATTGATGTTGGTTAGAAACTTTATCATATAATTTTCTATGAAATACCTATATTTCTCCATTTCGTAAAACTGGTATTTTCACTAGTGAAAATAACACATTTGAGGTTTCTCTATATAGTAAAAGCAAGAAAAAAAGGCATTTTACGACATAATTTGCTTTCATATATCGCTTGGAGATGCGAATTTTATCTTCTCATGTTGAAAATCTCTCACTCATTCGCTACACTCACTCGTGAGAGATCTTTTCAACACTCGCAGATAAAATCCGTATCTCTGCGCGCCCATGTTATACCCTCTATGTTGGACATTGTGCTGAATCAAAAACAGAAGTTTTCAAATTATTATTCAAAATATATTTTTTCTTATTTCCAAAATTAACTTATTTGCCACTCTTTATTATAGAGCAACACTTTATCCATGAAACGTTATCCATGAAAAGTAGTAATTAGTACAAATTGTTTCATGGATTAAGTGTGCCAACTTACAGATTCACAATCAAATAATGGAAAAGAAGAAAATTTATGTAACCAATAATTGACAAATCTTACCCCAACTCTCTTATATCTATCAGACTGATGCCTGATAAACCTCTTTCGTCTTTTTTTGACGATCCTCGGTTTCACTACTGGCATAACCATTTTGGCTGAGAGATAAACAAAATGTTAAAAAAACATTATTAAAACTTATTTATACCAAACATAACCATGTTTTCCTACAAAGGTTAAAATGTGCATTAACTGTATTTGCAAAATACTGCTCTAATTCGATAAATGGGAAAAAAGACAACTTTTGTAATAATTTGAACAATTTTAACTATTTTGTTAGCAAACTATTTCACTATAATGCTTAATTACATTGACACATAAATAAAAAAATACAAATTTTATAATGAAAGATGCTCTTTTGATAATAATGCTTTATACCTTGATACCATTACAAACAAAATTTCAAAACAAACCATGCTCCAATAAAGTTGTCGCAGTTAGTATTGAGAGTCAAAACATTGAACATTAGAAAAGAGGTTCTCTTTGGTCTCACCCACTAAAACTGCGTAATTCTCCTTCTCGTGACGGCCAACATTCCCATGACTTGACCACAGCTTTAAAGCTGAGGCATCAGTTACAGAATGTGGTGCTTTTTTGAGAAGGTTTGTCGAAAAATTGAACAAGAATCCGAGGACACAATGAGATCTTCTAAATGCACGTGAAGTTTGGAGGATGCCAGAAGTGTTTTCTTAGACACCCGAGAATATACGACTGGTTTTGCTATCATATAATCTCAAATCTAAGCTTATTTATCTCAAACGACTTCTCACTTTGATATATATTCACCGAAATCAGAAAATAAAAACGGAACTCTACGAACAATCTGAAATTTATGCATCTTTAAGAACATTGTTTATTGTCAAGAAAATATACATTCTTGCACGGGAACAGCAAAAATATTGCTCTCAACAGATGGGATAATATTCAGGCTATCACTCTGTTCTCGGTTCATGTTCAGATGGCGTAAAAATCGTTTGTTATGATACGGATTCTGAGACCAACCTGGTTCTATTGGACTGCAGCCGGAGAAAAATGGCGAAGAGGCCTTCCGAGCGCCCGCGCTGGATCATGGGCAAATGCAAAAGTTGAGAGGAATATGGGTACTAGCTAACACAGGGAGCCCAAAAGGTAGTAATTACAAAATCAACACTGTTGAAAATATTTTTTTAAATCTCTGTATGAATATATTTTCCTGTCATTTTCTGCAATGACTTCCTGGAATTTATTATAATTCAGCCATTTTTAACTATTTTTATTTCTGTAAGCCTTGCAAAAAATATTTTTACCATAACTTGTAGAATTCTCGCGCGCTGATTGTTAAATTGTTTGTTTGTTTTGTTTCATTCATGGGATAAAGCGCCCAGGCCATCCCCTCAAAAAAAAAGTATCAATTCGAAGTTTAGCGCGCGCTTGCTTTGCCAAGCCTCCGCGACTTCTGACGAAATAAACGCAAAAGTTAAGAACTGTTAAAAGAATTGAAACTATGAAACTAAGCATTGAAGTAAATGGAAATCTTACCAGAAGTTATTTTATTGCGGATTTTTAGAGAGCTAGATTTCGACAGCCTTCGACATGTCGCGATGGTTAACCGACAATGGAACCGAATTGCGTACGACTCCTCTTTGTGGACTGTCACCAATTTGTGCGGGATTTATGTTGGAGAGGAAGATTTTGCACTATTTGTTGATAGAATTGCTAGTTCTGTGGCTTGCTTGGATCTACGTTCATGTACGGGTCTATCTTCAGATGTTTTAAAGAATATTCTGAATAAATGCCCTCGTCTGCGTACATTAAGGTAAAACATGAAATTGATTATTTCTCCTTTGAGCACAGAGATTTTCATCAAACTATGGACAATCACAAATCAATTCGAGCAAATCCAGCAATCTGATTGGCTACTGAACTATGGTCTATTCATGATACACCGTGGTCGCATCGTATGTAACCCGAGCCGATCATCAGCCTTCTGCGAGAGAGCCTGATATTCAAATTACATCGAATGTTCTTTTTACAAATTTTGCCCTAATGGATTATCAACTTTTATTCCTCTCGACTTCATGGTCGAGTTCTTAAATATATCATGTCCCTGATATAAAGGTAGGGGCGGATAAAATGAAGACATGACGGAATATGTCTTGCGTCTTTCTCAGTTTGCAGGGTTGTCAGCTTGAAAACAGCACCGGTTTCATAACCATCCAAGCCTCGTTCTCAACCTGCCTCAAGAACCTCGACTTGAGATTCGTCCATGGTGATGCTTCCAAAATCTTCAGCAGAGCACTTCCACGCATGCGTCAACTGGAAGCACTCGGACTGGACAACATCCCGTCATGCTGTTCGGCCATGTTTCATTTCCTGTGTAACCTCAAGGTTTTCTATTGTCAAAATTGCGCGTCAATAACAGATGAAGACCTAGAGGGTCTAGGAATTAATTGCCATGAATTAGAATCCCTAAGTTTATCCGGCTGTGCGTACATCACTGGGAAATTCCTTCCTGGCTTAGTTCGCGGCTGTCGAAAACTAAAAACCCTTCTCCTTAGCTGCACAAGAATACGAAATCAATACATCCGGGAAACCAACTGGACTGATGCCATGGTAACAGAATTGGACATTTCATATTGCTATGGCATTACCGAGGAGGGATTGTTGGTCCTTTTACCCAGTCTCACTCAACTGAAATATTTGCAAATTTCGTTTTGCGGCTGGGGACGAGCGCTTAGTGATAACGTCATTGCTGCTATGGCGTCGCACATTGGCCAGAGTCTTGAAACGCTGGATATTCACAGCAGTTTCAACCTATCTGGTCATGCGTTGTGCAGCCTTCTTGATAAATGCCCATCCATGACTACTCTCTGTGTTGGAAGCGCTATAAACTCTGACGTCGAGCTTGAATGCTCACTTCAATGCCTCCCAAAGTTGAAAAACTTCTTCATTACTAAGCAATCTATAATCAAAACAGAAACTGTATTCAATTTGATTTCAAAATATTGCAAAGACATCGAAGTGCTTGCGTTGTACAATTTCTACGCCATTAATCGTCCAAAAGTGGAAGAAAGCTTAGTGAATCTGGTTCGTACTTGCACCAGTTTGAAGACGTTGTGTGTTCGAGGGACAAATGTACCGCTGCGCACTGAACTCGCAGCGCTTGCAGCCATGGCGAAGGTCGTATCTGGACGTAGGGATATTAACATTTGTAGGACGCCCCATATGCTGTTGTCAGGCCCTATGAATAGCCTTGATAACGTCATTAGAGCTGAGTTTAAAATAACTTCAAATGTATCATAAAACGTCAGCAAGAACATTGTTTTCTTTTTCTCTTTACCCAGGGGCATGTGCGTGGGTTTCATGAGGGTTTTTTTCAGCTTTGATTTGCGGTTTCAAGGAGATTGATTGCAAAATTGCACGAGTATTGCTTTGGGTTCACGTAGAATGATTTTTGCACATAGACAACTCAAAACTTTGTTTCATCAAGTAAACTTTAATTTATTGATATACATTTTATCATAAGCAGATCACGCCTGTTTCAAAATCTCTTTTGGTTCACAAAAACGCTTTGCACGACGGTCTTTTTGGGGTAAAAATGTGGGCAGTCTCGTTTTATGCACTTCAGCACCGCTCTGGCCGTCCGGGCACCTGAAACGTACGCCCCCTGGACGAACCCCACCCATGTCTCATCCACAGCGTCTCCGGCAAAGTAAAGGCGCTTCAGGTTCCCTTGAAGATTGTGAAATTCATTTGAAGTAGTACCAGGCACTGCGTTAGGGTAGGAGCCTTGGGTATAGGGGTTCAGCGACCATTTGCTGTAGAAAATTCCTATGAAAGGTGAAGAGAATTGAGTCAGAACGAGTGTGGATTTAGTGGTAAGGCGCAAGAGAATCTGTTGTCAAATAAAGCAGCGGTTTATTTGCTTTGAATTCGAAAATCAGTGGAGTATTAAAAAAACAAACCTTGTGCCTGAGGGATATTGGGTCCATACACCTTGCGAAGTTCAGTCATGATCTCCGACAACGTTTCTTTCTCCGACTGTCTCTCAACTCGACGTCCTACCTCGCTGGTCACCGTGACATGCAGAAGACCCGACCCCGGGGCAATACCGGGCATTTCTAAATCCATCCATACGGGATAATATCCCCGATGTCGGTGCGCATATAAGATAAACTCATGGCTGTCCCAGAACTTGCGCGGAAACTTGATGAAAATTTTGGTATAGACTCCCATAGGGACCTTGTGAAGAGCCTCGATTTTCCACGAGGGTAGGGCGGGGGAGAATTGCACCAAGTTGCTCTTCAAAACGCTTGTACTGAACGTACAAATCGCGAAGCTCGCAACATAGGTATTCCCATCTTTTGTTTCCACACGAACGCCGTTATCGTGGTACATTATCTTTGTCACCACGGTATTCAATTTTATTTTATCTTGGAAGGGTTTCGCTGTTTCTTTCCAGATGTGGCCATAGCCTCGCGGGTCAACAACGAAGAAATCAGTCCCACGGGTCTCGATTTGACTGAGCGAATCCATCTCAGGTTTTTCGGTGTATTCAAAGTCAACCTCACGGTATTCGACTACCTTTTCTGATGGTTTCTGTGGATTCCAACCTTTTATGTTTAGTCCTATTCTCATGGGAATGTCAATTCTACTGTCTTTCTGCCGTTGTTTCTCGAGGTCCATTGCTCCATTCAAAGCTCGGTCGAAACGATCCTGGATTTCTTGGTATGGAATAGATTCACCTTTTTCATTCCTAATGTAAATGTTGCGTCAATTGAATTAATATCTCAAAGTGCAAACACTAAAAATGCTTAACCAAATAGTGCTAAATAGCGCAACATAGTGTAGATTATACAATAGAAAACACATAATTCACAATTTGAGTGAGTTATAACCTTATGATAGTGTCTTCATAGTTTGTATATTTCCCTCTCAGTTTATACTTCATCTTCAGCTTCCATAACGGGTCATTTTCATCAACATGGTGAATCCAATTCGCTCCTTCTTCGAGCTTGAATCCTTGAAAATCAACTTGTTTGAACCTCCCGCCAATGTAGTCTTGTGCGTCAAGGATGAGGAAGTCGTTAACACCGCTATCAAGTAGTGTCTTTGCTGCTGTTATTCCAGAAACTCCCGACCCAAGGATAAGCACTTTGGTTCTTTTGAATGCGCATTCATATTGTGGAATAATTGAAGCAGCGAAGAGTACGATGAGGACTCGAAACATCTAAAAAAAACAGACAAGGAGATAGATATAATTCAGGAAACAGTTGTGTAAAAATATAAATTTAACACCTAATAAAAATAGGTGAAACAACTTACTTACGTTTCGGACGTTAATTCGTCGTCGGACTTCATTACTCCGTCAGTAACGCCAGTACGTTGTTTCACCTATTTTTTTACGGTGTTAAATTTATCTTTTTACACAATTAATTCTTTAGAAACACCGACGCAGCTCACGCTAGTTTACCGCTAGTTCCCACCAGTAGATATATCAGGATACGAAAGCGCAATGAATGGTCCTCCCCGAGATGAAGAGTATCATTGCATTGATAAAAGTTTCCGGAATCCCTGGAAACCATCTCATGCGCATGCCCCTCCGACCGTATCGATGGTTAAAAGAACTATCAAAGCATTGGTAGATCATGACAACTCAATGCTTGAGAGTTCCTTTGGTTTATTTTATGTATATACCAGCAAATAAGATTATTGAGTTTTTACCTTTTACACTATAGTGTTGATCCTGATTACGCCACTCTTTTCCAACCAGCCAAGAACAAATAGAGAAGTCTATGTTTCCGAACAGCCAGTTTGTTTTTCCAGCTTTACCATTGTGTTTAACACCATGCTTTTGAGCTTTTTCACTTTGCATTTATGACTCACTGTGATTGGCTCAGAACAGTGGTGGATTGTCAAAAGTCGTTTTTTTATTTCGCGCGCTGTGATTGGCTGAAAAGCGGTAAGCTTAACTGATCTCTCATTTGGATAAGAGATTTTCTAAACAAAGTCGACTCTACAAATTTTCTTTTGGCGCGTCTTTGCACTGTTATCCAGCGTCCTAAATTATCCAAATGAAAAGCAATACAAAAAAATAGCGACAGCGAAACGATTTAACCCAATAGTTTAGACCCAGCCTTTATAACAGGTGCTATCTGATTGCTGATAAACTTTTCTTTTCAATCAACTGCTACGCGTGAAAATACTTGAATGAAATACCATTATTCCATCAACGTCTCATTCTCAGCGCCAGTCTACCAAACAAGAGTCCAACTTGAACTCCTTCAGAACTCGACCACACACACAATCTTTATCTCGACATCTCTCGATAGTTTGAACGTGCTAAAATGCTCGTCCTGTGGAATATGATTGATATTTGTCGATTTTTTACAATCTCAGCTGTTTTTACTCAGCTTGTGGGAAAGACACCAGTAAGTTTACGACATGCAAACAGTAATGGCACAATGAGGTCTGATTTTTATACGTCTCTCGAAATATACGCTCACCTTACGGACTATGCATGCATATTATATTACGTTACTGGGGAAAGGTTGAAAGATATTGGAAAAATATGAAATTCGAGTAAAACTATCTGTGTGGGTCTAACTATCACGAAGCATTCTCTTTCAATAATATATTTACACCATTTCCTAAGAATCTGGGCGAAAAATGGTGGCTGATAATAATTTAATAACAATGAGAAAAAATCTCTCTGCTTGCGATGATTAACTAAACAACTAAACTTTTCCTTGAAGTTTTTAATAGGTATAAATGAGTCATATATTTTGAAATTAGGGCTTTTTCATTCAAGTAATAATTTGAGATTATCATTATTCTTTGATTCTTACTAAGTAATAATCTTAGCGGATTCGCTTCATGTCAGCCAAGGTGGGACCCAAGCGAATGGATACAAGGGCCTGAGAACGAGGTTGGCTTCATGTATGTATACTGGAATAGCTCCCCCCGGAAAACTAATGACCTAATATTGGCATTCCGGGGGTGTTCGGCCTTTTGTTCGGCTCGATTTCTTCCGCAGTACCTGTCTCTCTTTTGTTTTGTTTTTGTACTTTTTTATGAAAGTTCGAATGCCCTCCATCACTACCTTAAATTTGAAAATTCTTTGAGGTGCAAAAGCGGCCATTTTTAATGCCTCTCAAAAAGAGGGATAGGGTTTGGAGGGTTTACTCCGACGAAGGATTAACACCCGAAACGTCAGTAAGTTGTTTCACCTACTTTTTTGCGGTGTTAAATTTATCTTTTTACACGACTGTTTCTTTAGAAACACCGACACAGCTCACACTAGTTTACCGCTAGTTTCCACCATTTCGGAGGCTGGGTTTAGTCTTTGTCTTCCCATAATTATATTATTCTAACCTCTCACATGTTAAAAAATCCTAATTAAACATCAATATCCCCGTTATCCGGTCAAGTGCTGCGCTGGGATTTTCTGTAATTCTTTGTTGACTTTAATTGAATTAAATCTTGTAAGATAAGTCACGTCCACTAAAACTGAACTTTAATTATTCAGTCCTTTCCTTAAGAATAAGTGAAACTTGCATTAGAGTGCACACATAAGCATGAAACAATTCTTAACATGTATTGCTAAATAAGATTTAGTTATCAACTAACTAAGAATTCAACAAAGCATAAACACAATGCCAATTATTTAAATTCCTTTGTAGCATTGTTCTCAATTCTTAGTTAGTTGATAACTAAATGTTATTTAGCACTACATAGTTAAGAATTGTTTCATGCTTATGTGACTTGCACTCTATCAATTGTTTTTTAATTCATAAGGTAAACACAATGGAAAATCATTGCTATGATGGCATCTTTATATGAGCAAGAGATTTGTCCTGATTTGCATTCGACTTTAACTTTGATTTCTCTTAAAAATAAAATTTTATCTTGAAGTTTTTCGTAAAATAAGCTTTAGCTTATGTTGGAATTTGATACGAAAGGTCTCTACGATCGCATCTCACGTGTAATTAATATGGGTTAGTAGAAAATCCCTCAATGGCTATAATTCTTAATTACTAGATATTAGTAATACTGTCAGAGTTCTTGAGAAAATCTGTTCCAACCCAGTCGACCCTAAATTATTTATTTAACAAGAGAGGGGTGGAGAGATTGAGTTAGTAAGTAAGTTCCTCCCTGAAACCAAATTCAGCTCAATGCCATCCGTTCATATGGGAACGATACACATTTTTCGTCGGCGCAATTATATGTAAGTGCTCTGTTCTGACGTGCGTAAGTATATCACATTATAGTATAGTATTCCAACACGTTAATCATGTTGAACATGCAATCTCGGAAAATAACGACCACGTGCGAAGCTGAACAGCCCACGCAATCCAAAAGAAAATCCTCACTAAATAGAAATACTGAATAGAATAAAGGAAAGACTAAAAAAGAAGTTGAAAGAGAGGAAGAAATGACTTTAAGGAAGTAACAAATGAATAAAAGGAAGTCGATTAATCTGCATGAATAAGATTTGAAAGAAAGGGAGGACAACGAAGCGAAAAATGGGAGAAATGAAGAAAACAAGAAAGTTGCAAACGAACTATTTAAGGAATTGCAACGTTATTCAAACTAAATTTATAAAAGAAAGTTGATTAATAGTACAATACCACACAAACTGACTTTGTGCCCCTCAAACTCAATTTTCCTTACGATACCATATTGAATGGATTCAGATGGCCTGGAGGTAACTCTTCATCGTATTCATCACGCGTGTCAACTGCCTAAGAGTATTGACACGCAATACCCATACCCTGGGGCAGATATCTATATGAAGACACATCGCAAAAAGATGGAACCTTTTAACAGTATATTATAAATAATTCAATTATCAATAAGCCAATTTTTTTGCATCTGAATCAGCTGGGTTGATGTCCTTCCGCGCTGCACCTAAAGGCAAATTATAGAAAGACAAATCGCAAAAAGATCAAACCTTTTAACGGGTTTTAACAAGAATCAAATTGAACAGTAGTTAGCGGTGGTTTCCTACAGAGCACGCCTTCCCCCTCCCTCTGTTGGGACTTCTGTGGTTTTCCGCCGTGACCTATATTTTTCTGGATTATTTTCCGATTTTCAAATTATTTGAAGTTGTTTATCAATGATTTCAATTAAGAGATTAATTCAACTTCAGAATGGATCATACTTTGAAACACGGCCTGTCATACCCTTGAAAGGTTGGTCTTTGTCTTGTCAAACTGTCTGGCTTACACCGTCTCGCGCCTGATGACATTTTCAAAAAAATTGTTCTTTAAAAATTCTAAAACACAATAAAACACAATGTCTTCAAAGAAAGTTTTATGCAGTTTAGTTTTCTTTGTTGTGGAGAAAAAGCTTTTTTATCGCGCAGCGCATTGAGGGTACAGTACATTTGGGATAAGATCATCACTTAAGAGGGCTAGTTTGGGAAAAGAATCGACAATTTTCTAAAACTTTCCGATCGGCAGAAAACCATCTTCCTTTTGCCTCAAAAATTTAGCTCAAAGCAATGTGTCAATGCTTGAGTGGCAGTCAATATAGAACCTCGAATATCAATTACATTTTGACGTGACTTTGACCTTCAAATATCGCATGACTTACGAGTCTGACGCGGCAAATACCTAAGCAAAATAACTATCGATCCGGCAGTTGGTGAGTTAGTCGTCGTTGACCACTGAGGAAGCTACATTAAAACATGGAAGTCCTAAGACCGTCAACGCCAATGCCTTATGGTAGGGTCGACTCGACTTGTACGAACACTTTTAGGAACAGAAAATACCCCTCAAGTGGTTCCATTCCACATCTGCAGCCCTTAATAGAAGAAAGATTTGTAAAACGCTCGAAGACTACAGGGGATTTAGTCAAACCATTCCAACGATGTACCATCGCGTGTGACGAAGGAGAAAACGTCGAATTCCTACAATTATCTTCTGGTCACGCTAACGTCTTGCGAATACCTGATAAAAAAATACCTTCAAAGTTCACTTGCAGACTACCGTGCATTAAGAAAGACAGCAAGAATGATTTTGAGCCTTGGGAGCAGTATGAGGCAGCAAAACCGAAACAGGGCGAGCGCAGTAGGGCAAAATACGAATGGAAAGCCTCGCAAGAACATGAAAACCGCAGACAACCAAGTGTAAGTTCATCTCAATCAACAAATAGTCTTCCCAGTTTAGAGAAAGAAAAAGAACCTCAAAGGTTGCACACGAATCAGTGTACGAAAAAGTCAATAATTCAAAAACACATTGAACAAGAAGACAAAAACTTTGACCCAACGATAAACAGAGAGGTGCTTTTCAAAAAATATTTTGAAGGACAACGATGAAAGATGGAAAAATTAGCGCAAATATTTGGGTGCATCGCTAAACAACCAAGACTCAAATTTCAAAGTTTATTGCGGCATAAAGTTTAAAACAATGAAACAGTGAAACATTCATATGGATGGGTTTTGAACATGGTGTTTGCTACATGAACTGTTAATGAAGAAGGCAGGTTTGATCGAAACAAATGAGAAAAAACGAGCATTCAGTGGTGAGATGGGGGAACTGAATTGTAATATAAGTAAAGATCTATATATTATTGTAAATAGCGGATGTCATGGACATTGGAAAATATAAATAAACACAAAGGACATATAAACATTTTCATTAAAAAGATCTTCAGAAAGGTCATCTGTGTGCATTTTGCAAAGCAATTTGTCCAATTGATTTATGTGTTCGGCTACAAGCCTTTTAATATAGCAAATAAAGTGACAATCCTATATTTAACATAGGACATTGTTTATTCAGTTAGTTTTACTTTGGAAATTAAAAAAACTTAGTAAATAATGTGTTTTGTGATAACATGAAGCGCGAATTGCGATGTTTTGCCGAATTGCGCGCGGATTCTGTGACACGCCCCACTCGCCTGTAACTTTTAGGAATTAAATCACTTTTGTAGATTCATAAACATAGCAATGTTTTAAAATAGCAAAAATATTACACTTTAACTCAAAGAAATGTGGACACTAAAGGGCTACTAGCCAGTCTACATTGCTGCAGCCTTAAATACAGTTTTATGTCTGAAAATTTCAAGTTCTTTCAAGTTCCGACGACACTCTCTTTGTTTTAAAGAATGTTTGCTTTACTTTTATGGAATTGAATTTAGGCGAGATAATCTCTGATAAGAATTCCCAAACGACGTGATCTCAAATAATCGAAAAAACATTAAAATTCTGTCTTGGTTTTAAGCGGATTAGTTAATACTCCCAAAACAAAGTGCCGAGAAAACCTTATGTTTGTGAAATTATGCTAAAAAATCACAGAGAAAGCAATCGTACTTGAAAAAGATCTCAAATACACCCATTTGGAGCATTTGTTCGCAATCATTTAATTACTGCTGGCCTAACACCTGTTTTTTTTAAGTTCGCAACCCAGAAAAACCTAAGGCTCAAAGAGCATGCAAAAAACTCGTTAAAAAGTCATTTTTCACTCG